CTTTGATCACACCATCTAGTAATGGGAGCTTTGGCACAATAAATCTGAGAAACTAGCATAACTGAAAACCTATTTGAAAAGTTCTAAATTTGGATGTAATAGTGATTTTCAATGGTATTACAGGAGGGCTGAATTCAAACTAGGGCCCGAGATTAGAGAACTAAGCAACTAGGTCCTATGGCAGAGGACATATCAGCCAAACTACCGAGTTGTCGTACTAGAGGAAAAGGGTATATGCTCCAAAAGTATGAACTAAGGGGAGAGCATCCTTTAGACATCTAAAGCTTGGGCAGACCAACCCTTCTGTGTTGCTGGCTAGAAGTAAGGTAGAGACTGATAAAGAATCTGGGTAAGGAGATAGTTCCAAGTGTAAGTACTAGGGTTGTTGTGAACCAATTAAGGGCAATGAGTACATAATAGAAAACTAATTAGGAAGGTTGTAGCTTGAGATATGGATCAGGTTATAGCAGTGCTCTAAAGGGCAGCTTGAGATACGAACTTGGTGATAGCAATACAACAAGTACTAACTAGGAAGATATTACAGGTGAATGCATGTGTGGAACATGCACTGCTCTGTTGGGCTTACCTTTGAGGATAGTAAAGTGTTCTAAGTTGGCTGATTATATAGTGGTGTTGCAAAATCTATATTTGAATAGTGAGTTATACCTGCATTAAGATGGGCATCAGGCCAAATATGTTAAGACCAGAAGGTTTAAATAGGTACCCTGTAGTTGGGGTACAGATATAGCAGATAGTGCAGAACCCTTAGCATAATACAACTGCTTTGGGTGGACTACTTAAATTAGGCACCAAAAGTGCATGTGTGGCTTGATATATCTTTGTTACAATATATAGTGTTTGAACTCAACTTAATAAAATTTGCCAACCAAGAAGGTCTCTTTAATTAAAAAAATAAATAAATAAAAAATAAATATATTATTATCTTTTTCTGAATATAATAAGCAAAATAAGCTATATGAATCTTCTTGTAATTGCAAAAGTCTTTCTTCTCTTATTTCTTTACTATAATAATATGGATATAAAAACTACATAATTACAAAAAATAAATTATAAAATTTTTTTTATCAATTATTAATTTCATCCAATATTAAGTTTTTAAGTTTAAAAAAATACTAATTCATTGATAATTTTTCTAAGCTATGCCCAATATACTGAAATATATTTAAGTATAACTTTATCAGATTCTAAAATTTTAACTATATAGTTATATAGTTTTAATATATGGAGGTGAGTTAATAAAAATCAAGCAAATTTTTTATAATAACCTTAAACAAGAATAACTTAATAAAAACTTGACCAAATTTAATAAAAATTTTTTTAATTAATTTTTACAAACTTATAGAATTAATTTTAAAAAAATTTTATTAAATTTGTCCAGTTTTTGTTAAGTTATTCTTGTTTAAAAACTTCCTAAAAAAATTTGCTTGGTTTCTATTAACTCAACCTCATATGGAAATTTTATCAAGTTTTGTTTAAAAACTTGCAATTTTAATTATATTAATTATTTTAAAGAACAGATATTTCTATACCCTTGTAAATTATAAACTATTGTTATGAAATTATAAAGTTATTATGATATGTGATCCAAATATTCTAGCTTAAAAATTGAGTAATGTAATATGACACTTCATTTTTACTGCAACTATAAACTTTATGTATTATGCTCATGATCAAAGGGTGTGGAAATATCAAAATTGGGTGTGGAAATACCTGTTCTCTTATTTTATTATAATTATTTTCTTTAATAGTTAAAGATCTGAATCTGTAATAACTATAACTTACATGTTATTTGAGTTAATAAAAGAGTCTTTGTGGCTTTTAAAAATGTGCCTATCTAGTAATGCAAGGATATTTGAAGTTACATTTTTATTTTTTTCTAACTTTCTTAGTTTAGCTAGAACCCAATTTGAATTACAAAAAAAATTTTATATTAAAGCCATACAAATTTAATTAATTAGTTTTTATAATCTGGTTAAGTCAAAATTTACAAAACCTTAGAAAAAATTTTTAATATATTTACTATCCAGGCAAGTTTTTTTAAAATTATATAAAAAATTTTATATGTTTTTTATGTATAAAATTTTTTTGAAAATAAAATTAAAAGCCAGGTTGCCAGATTACTTTTAAAATTTTATGTTATGAAACCCGAATTATTAAGTTTGTATGGCCTAATATACAAAAAAAAATCATTAAATTATTTTATATAAAATTTTTTTAATTTTAAGTTATATAAATTTGTTCTTTGTCTTTGATACTCCAACTGATTTACAACTTTTAGAAAATTTATTTATTGATTGACCTTACATAATTTAAACTAATTATAATATTGGATATGATAAATATTTTTTTTATACATATATAGAGTATTTATATATCAATTGTTTTTTTTAGCCAATTGGGCTTAATTCTTGAATCAAAAATGATACTTTTCGAGTGGCCAGTAAATCAATAGTTATTTTATACCCTGCTTTGTTGTATTTCAACATGAGATTGTTAATCTTGCAGTTTATTTAGCAATGGAATTTCTAATTATTAATTGTTAACATGAAATTGTTAATAAATTATTTTTAACAATTAATAATTGAATTATCCAATATGCATAGAAAGTATCTATAGAATGTGTAATTAGCGAATTAAATTATATTTTCTAATATTTTTTATATACTCTAATATAAAATGATTTTGTAGTGATAAAAATTAATTAATAATAGTTCTATATCAGCAATGGAATTTTCCATTACAGCTTTTTAATTGATGTGATCAATGATTCATAGAAAATTGACAAATTTTAAAAAAACTATTGATTAGATCATTTTTACGTAGATGTTCTATGCATATTGGATAATTCATTTATTAATAACTTAGAAATTAATGTTAATTTATCATTTAAATTTTAATTTTAATCATTAACAATTCATATTTAATAATTAGAAATTTCCATCGCTAAGTTCATGCAATTATATAATCTTGATACTTAATATTGGCTACTGATTGTAATGTATCTTACAGTAATGGTTCTAATTTTAGTTTATTATTTTCTTTTTTAAATTATAGACCATATTGTTATAAGATTAATTTTTTATTACAAATAAAAGAAACAATTTTTATATTTAAATAAAATAAAAAATAAAAAAACAATAAATTCACATTTATTTTTGTTAATACTGTGACCATCAGTTGGGAGAACAATTAATGTTAATCCAAATAGTTTACTTAAGAGATTGATAATAACTGTACACGTGTTATGATGTTGGTCAGGATTATTACATGATCATACAGTATCAACTTTTATCCGACAGGTCCTATATGCGCACTAGACGTTTTTTGTATATATTATTCGATCACTTTCTAATCATGTGAAAACTCAATTTTTTGATATTATTTCTTTTTGCATAGCTCATAAAATTCATATTAGTGAACGTTAAGGAAAAAAGATTTAACGAAGGAAAAAAAATAAAAAAAAAGTTAAACGAAAAAAATGATGAGCGAAAGTGGAAAAGTAAGCGAACGTAAAAAAAAAGTAAAAGTGAGTTTAATGATTAGAAAGATCGAATAATATATACGAAAAACGGCAGTGCTTATGTCGGACCTTACGGATAAAAATGTTATCAGTTAAGTTGTAATGAAAACTGATTATTCGTAGAGAACAATATAAATGACATGGCAAAGCCGCGCCATTTATATAGTAACCTAATGATAAATCAGTTATCATCCACAACCTAACCAATAACAAGTACTAATTAATTGGGAAGGTAATTTATTATGTAACAATATAATGCAAGGAATAATAAAAGAATAACAATAATAAAAGAATATAACATGAAATTAAAATACAACACTTGTGAGAATTCGATTCTTATTATATACTCTATAACCAAGACATCGTAGTCTGAGATCCTGTCACCCTGTTTGAGAAAACTTTATTAAGGTGAAAACTAAGGTGAAAACTCAAGCTTTAAATACATTTCAATTTACTAAGAGCTACTGTGCTATAACTTTTCTAAGAATCCTTGTATACGTATAATTGCTTCGTGTTCGGGTTGTGAGCAACCCACGTTAGTAAAGCCACTCAAATATTGCTCACAATCTGCTCACAATTCTGCTCACAACAACCGATTTCCTCTTAATCTAATACGTACTTACCATATGATGAAATAAACAACCACAAATTGTTCTTGCTTTGAAATTCTAATTTTAAACCCAACTAGAACATAATACGTATTAAATATAATTTGCATTAAATTAATTTTGATTAAATTTTTGATTAAATATTTTAATTAAAAATTATTTAAGGACATATAAAGTTAATATTTTGGTTCTCACAACATAAAATTTTTTAAAAAAACACCACCCGGATAGTAAATATACTTACAGCTGTTTACAGCTATATTCATAATTCCTGGAACACCTGATAAAAATTGGCCAAATGATTTTTCAGCCGATTCGATAAAGTTTGTAATTTCGGTATAATCCGTATAATAAAAACTATTTCTGTATCATAATTGCTTTACAGATCGTTGTATAATATCAACATTATTAAAATTTTCGTTCGAATACTTATCCAACCTGTTTTGTGTGTCAATAATTCTTGACAAGAAATATAAAAAGGCACTATATTAATTAGCTTTTATAATAAACATATTGCACGAATTGGAGTACATGTTAAAAGAAGACCCTGCATATAAATAAATATTAGTTTTATTTGTATATAAAGTTGTTCTGTAGCCCTTCAAATTGTCATAAGACTAATTTTACGCCTAACCAGAGTTTCATCTCGGATTGCAATTCATAAAATATCAATCAAGTTTTTTCATTAAATTTTAAAATATCTTGTATCGATTATGTTTAGTGAACGTAGTTTTTCTGAAAATGACGGAAACTTTTCAATAAATACATATCTTTGAAATGCTTGAGAACTCGACTTATAAAAGATATGCTAACACCTAAATGTTTGTTTGGCCTTCTAAAATTTTTTTTTTTCAATCATTTTCCAGCGTAGATGCTTCATACCTTAAATTATGTATAAATATTATATATCAGTTTTATTGACGAAATTACAAACTTAATCGATCGGCTGAAAAATCATTCGGTTAATTTTTATGTGTTCCAGGAATTATGAAAATAGCTGTAAATATGTATATATATACTATTTCGTCCCAATCGCCGAATCAAACACTTACCGAATCGGCAAAATAATCATTCGGACAAAATTTATAAAAACAAATGTAATAATTTACAGTTATTTTCATATATTCTGGGATAATTAATGATTGTATTAATAAAATTTCTAGAAATAAGATCAAATTTATAGGGTTTAAATTATATATTAATAAAATTCAATTATAAGTTATAGAATTTATATATAAATTTATAAAATAATATTGATTTTTAAAAAAACTTTGTATGTAATAAAAAAAAAGTTTCTAGGAATAGGTACCATCACCTTAAGGCTATACAAAATTAATTTTTTGTCTCATGATACAAAAAAAAAATTCTATTTATAAAAACAAAAAAAAGTAAAAATAAAGAAATCCAACTAGTACTATAGTAAACAATTAAATTTTTTTAAAAAAATTGCAAATTTTAACCTGGTCGAGTTATGACGATTAATTAAATTTGTATGGCCTAATGAATTTATATATTTCAAAAATTTCTTAAATAAATAATCGCGCGCACCAAATTTGTGCCTTTCTGCCCTCAACTTTATGATCAAATGAAAATGAAGCATACATATCCAAAAAATTTTTATAGAATTACGTTTTTTTTGGAAGGATGTTGTTACACAGTAATCTTGTAGATTTATCATGCATCTGAACATTTTTACTAGAACTAGATACTCTGGAGTAGTTTTATAAGATGTCCTGTTAGCCCGATTTCTGAAAGGTGAATTGAGGTTAAAACCAGTTAATAATTTTTTTGTGCTAGTCCTATCTCGAGCAATTCTATTTCTTAAATTTTGTAGTCTTGAAAGAACTTGCTGAATGTCAGGTCGACCATCAGGATCATGTTTCCAACAATCTATTTATTTTTTCAAAGATATATAAAATAAATAAATAAATAAAATGAAAAAAAACACATAAATAATTTTATACCTTTATAGACCTTGACATACGCAGGTGGTGTTCCTTCAATAGGACTTTCTCGATTATCCTTGATTATATATACAGCCAATGGTATAGGGTTTTCAACCATGTTCTTAAAAGGTGGGTAACCACTAGATATTTCCCACATAAGAACACCAACACTATATACGTCAGATTTTTTATCAAATCTAAATTTTTGATTTTCAAAATACTGTGGATCAACGTATGGAATAATCCCACAAAAATTTTGATTTGAATTTGTCGCTTCATCTAATCTCTTCGAGATTCCAAAGTCCGAAATCTTAATACACATTTTATGAATAAGTATATTTTTCGAATGCTATTTGAAATTATAAATGGTTGAGATTAATAAAAAAAGTAAAAAAGCCATAATCAATGTATTCGAAATTACCAGATCACGATGTACTATATCTTCAGAATGCAACCATTTAACCGCACTTGTAATTTGTAATGCAAAATCGATCTTATCATTCCAAGAAAGATGTTTAAAGTTTTTTTGCAAGTATGATCTTAAAGTACCATTGTCAGCATATTCAAGAACTAGCATGTAATGTACAGAGCCCAAATTTTTTTCGTCTATTATATACAATAATATTATATATATGTATTTAATTTATTTTACTAAATCAAATCAATTTATTCTTTTTATTATGAAATTAACTTGGTGGCCTTACCTTTATTTTCAGTGACACCGTATAGACGTGTAATATTATGATGCATATCCACTCTACTGTGTAATTTAAGCTACAAAGTTATATTTATAAAAAAAATCATTAACATTATGTTTATATGGTTATCGATTAAGATTAAGTAAACTACCTCTTTAACGACTTCTTTAATGGCCACATTGTTTTTAAATGATTTTAATGCAACAATAACTTCGTTATTTCTGTGAATAGCACGGTACACTCTTCCGTATCCTCCTTCCCCAATCAGCTTAACATCCTTGAAACAAGAACGTTCATATAATTTGATATGTTCTTCATTCGCGCATTTTTTAATTAAATCATCAGGTGGGTTCATGCCTCGCATTGAAGAATGTTCCCAAGGATGATCAATGTTTAAAAAGTAGTCGAATAACAAGGTTTGATTTGTGTAAAGGGAAAAGTGTTTCTGCAAATGTAAAGTTTACCGGATTCTAACTTTCTAGACGAAGGTTGGTGGGCTTTCTATATGGTACAATGCTAAAGTGCGGCTAGTGATTGCGGATCTAGAATATTTCGATGATGATGTCCAATTATGCATTGATAAACTTATAAACTCGATTTCGCATTGATGAAAGAAAAAAGAATTTTCTAAAAAAAAAAAAAATGCTGGAATGCGAGAAAGTAGTAAATTATAGAATGTCAATTCAAGCAAAGAAGAGAAATGTGTGCACTTTTGAAACTTTAAGACGTATTTATATTGTTATAGATAAATAAAAAGCATATCGATACGTATTAGATGATTAGATGATAATATTTTAAGATGAAGCACAAAAATAAATGCCGCGGATCATAATGAAATCGGATTAAAATGAGGGTTTCTATTTAGCCCTCTAATATAAATTCTACTCTAAAACTAACCCTAACCCTAAAAAATGCACTTAAAACTTTTTATTTTTCGGTGGCATATCTATTTTTACATTGCACAATATTTCATTTTAATCCGTCACAGTTATTGTATTCCTAAATTTAGCCAATGTAAAACAGTTCATACCAGAGGCAAGCCTATTGTAAAATGCCGGAGATTTTCGCTTAAACAATCTTCGATCTGACTTCTCACCAGTCAGAAAATTTACATTACGTTACTTAGATAAATTTTCATTGGGATTTTTTGTGCTATAGTTCGTACCTATCGTTATAAAATTTGATCCTAAAAAACTACTTATTTTTGGAGAACCATTTATTACGTATTAAGGTCTATGACTGGTCTTGTATTTTTTTTCACAGGCCTTGGCAATAAATTAATAAATAATCTTTTAATCAATCTTTTGTTTATAAATCAATAAAAATTTTTTATTCAATCTTGTGCTTATAGATTAATAATAACATTTTATTTTATTTAATCTTGTGTTTATAAATTAATAATCTTTTTATTTATTCTATTTATTTATCCTTCTTGTGTAATTGCTTTCCATTGATTAATTTGCATCATCTACATCTTGCTACCATTCGTACGTACGTACCTTTCATGATTCGGAAATGAATGTTGTTTTAATTTACTTTTGAGGAAGTTTTGTCAGTGGGGGTGGCGCAGTGGCACAATGTTGTACAAAATTTCCCACGCGCGATATGTTTGATCATATGACCAATCACACGACCTACTCTTTTAATTTTGCCAGACGAGCTCAGCGTAGTACAGTACAACAGTGTTGGCAATTTCAAATGAACATGACCAAATGACCAAATGAATTGGTCATTGGTCATTTGGTCATTTGAAAGTTGAAATGACCTAATGACCTAATATAAAAATTATAAAAATAAAAAGTGCAAAATATGTGCTAGAGTGACTCTTCTCCAGAATGGTTTCATCAATATTGTGATAACTGACTTCTGAATTATTGAATTAATCTGGATTTCTTTTATATCCCTTACCATATTGTGACTATCGGTCGGGGGAGCAATTACGGATATTAATCCAATTTAGCTCCGATGGTTCACTTAATTTAGGATTTATACACTTGTACACGTGATATGATACCACGAAACTCTTAAGCTGAGTACTCATATATAGCTTAATTTAAAGTTAACTTATGATTAGTTTAATCTTTTAAGTATAGAAAGATCTAGCCAATAAAATTGCCGAATTTAGGTTTGTGCAACTTCTACTTTTAAATGACCGAATGATAAATGACTTGGTCATTATTTTGGTCATTTGGTCATTTTAAATCAAATGACCGGTCATTTGCCAACACTGCAGTACAAATATTTGATAGCTGCTAGCACTAGCGGAAATCTAACAAATACTTAATATTTAGTAATTAAAAAATGCTTCTAAAATTACATGTCGATATGTAGTTATTACCAATTTTTGTTCTATCGTTAATTTTGTTTCATTTTCGAATACTTTGTTAAAATTTTGATATTTAGCTGACAATGATAGTTGTTGTATCATTTATAATATGATTAAAACAACAATTTAAAATCTATGGTTTCTAATGAATTTTTGTGATACAGGTTACGGTTATGGTTGCAACAAAATCCGCATGAGTTCCATTTTATCGTATAATGAGTAATAATCATATATAATTAATCAATGACATAACTTCAATTCATGGCATAACTTTCATTATAAATTATATATATGTAAATACCATTGCTATAGCTGGTACATATTATAAAATTATATAAGTTTCTTTTTTAGCAAAATCTTTATTAATTAGATGCGCTTAGGGATATTACAAATCCAATAATAATCTTTTAGAAAAATAGTGACTATCAGTCTTTTAAGTGCTCTGAAAGGGGTTAAAAATCCCGGGTACCCGACCCAGAACATAAAACCCGAAAATTTACACACGATCCCAAGTGATAAAAGTATAATGTGCATGAAAGTATAGTATAGATAAAAAATTTGTCTAGAAATTGAGCGATAATAAATTACCGGATAACCGGATAATTTTAATAATACACGAGTAGAAATTTTCAAACCCGAGTTTGTTCGAACAAATACGGGTTCAACTCCAAACCCGACCCGAATGACTCTTTCGGCGCACTAAATCAGACTTTTTTATTGATAATAAAAATTCATTTATTGAAGAAAATATGGCACAATAAAATCATAATTATTATCCGACAAATTTAGTAGTTCAAATGTTAATGAATAGATGAAATAATTAAAGTAGTAAATTAAGGGTCTTGATTTTCCCCACCCTTTTTTGATATTCCCACACCCATATGTAAATAATGTTTTTTTTTAAATTCGATCGAAAGTAACTCGGCACCCACACAACCAAATTCGATGAAATTTTTTTATTTGAATTCTCCGGAATTGCAGAATTCAAATAAAAAAAAAAAAAAAATCATCGAACTTGATTGTGTGGGTGTCGAGATACCTTCGATCAAAGTCAAGAAAATTTTGCCGCAGCTAAAATTTTGATAGACGATTAAAAATTTTCCCCAAATTTGATCGAAGGTATTTCGACACCCACAAACCAAATTTGATGAATTTTTTTTATTTAAATTCTACTGTTCCAGAAACTCAAGTAAAAAAATTTCATCAAATTTGGTCGGGTTGTCGAGATATCTTTGATCAAAGTTTTAAAAAAATTATAGATGTCAAGATTTTTTTTGACTTTGATCGAAGATAACTCAACAACCACCCGATCAAATTCGGTTAATATTTTTTATTTAAATCCTACGGATAGTGGAATTCAAATAAAAAAAATCCATCAAATTTGGTTTGGTGATTATCGAGATACCTTCGATCAAATTTGGGAAAATTTTTAATTGTCTATCAAAATTATTGAACCTAGGTGCCGCACAAAAAATGCGCGGCAGATCCTCGATTTTGATTGGCTAAGAACGAGATCAAAAAATTAGGCTGGAATTACTCGTAATTTTACTGATAAAATCGCAGCCGCCCATTACAGCTGTTTTCATTATTTTTGGGACATCTGTAAAAAAGTGACCGAATGATTGTTTGACCGATTCGATAAGTTTTTGTTTCGGCAGTGATAAACTTTTGATTAGTAGTATAGCGATAATGATATAT